GGCACCTGTACCCCTTCGTGATCGCGGAGAGCGAGGCGCCCGAGGAGGACGGCGGCGAGGTGTCGGAGCTGCGGCCGCGGGGCCGGGAGAAGGTGCGGAGAAGCGCGTCGAGGGACCGGCTGGATGACATCGTCCTGCTGACGAAGGATATCCAGGAAGGGGACACGCTGAACGCCATCGCGCTCCAGTATTGCTGCTCGGTGAGTCGCCGGGCGGTGCGGGAGGGTGGCGGGGTGTTCGTGTAACGGCGTGCGGCGGTCCCAGCTCCCTTGGCTCTCCCACTTAAAGCTAACGGGCGTAAGAAATGGGTGCTTGTGCTGGTGGCTCGACCTCTCAAAAACGGCGCTTTTCCTGGCCCTGTCTTTGCAAGTTAGGCTTGGTGGAGGGTAATACTGAGCCCCCATCAGGGTTTTTGTGGAGCCTGTTAAGGGAGGGAGGAGAAAAAACAAAACACCTCATTGCAACTTGAAATTCTGTTAAACTGCCTCAATACTTATCGGCAGGAGCATATTGCAGGGCTGGGAGCTCTCCACCCACCAGCCCCAGGCGTTCCCTTCTGGTGCTCGGACCTGGCTACTGCTCCTGACTGAGACTTCTTAAATTAGTCTGGTGCATGTGCTTCCCACCCAGTGCTTTGGGCTGGCCAGTGCTAATTAAAAGCAGAGGCTTCTCTCTTGGTTGGTGTTAGCTTTTGCCTGTAGCCAAATTTAACAGGAAATCAGCTGTGTGTGGTGGTGGACAGACGACTGAACATGCAGTTTTCGAGAGGTGAAATTTAAAATCCGTATTTACAGAAATCTTGCTGTCATCTAATTCTTCATGCAGAAACAAAATTAGGGGCCTCCTGTCGTGAGCTTAGGTACCAAAGACATAATTATTTCATAATCGTGACAGATCTGAGCCTTATTAAGCAGTTCTTGGCTTCAGAACCCGCTACGGTTGGGTATTTTGAGCAGACTGACTAGATCAGGCCTCAGATAAGAAATAAATGTGATGGAGCTTCACTCTTTCTTGTAAATTTGTGGAGAATGTGGAAGAGTGGTCCAGGACAGAACACATGACCTTGCACTGATCACTGGGGGTGAATGCTGCATTTGGCAGTCTTTGATGCTCAATCTGATTTATTCAGCCTGGTACATGACATGTAACAAATACACCGTCAGAGAAACCAAAACACTTCTCCGTTTTACAAGGCTAGTGCAGTAATTGCCCTAACTCACTTTTCCTGGCCACATCTGTTATAAGTGGAGCAGTCACAGCAACAAGGGTCTCATGACTACCGTGTTTTGTGTGGTGGATGTCCTCCCAGTGAGGACAGGAAGGGTCTGAACTCGGGTACTGTGCGTCTTAAAATGGGCACAATATCTGTGTGCTTACCAGGTGTTGCAGAAAAGTACTGACTGTTAAGTATTTCATTATGGTGAGGTTTATGGTTGTGCCTGCTGTGTTGAGGGGAGTTGCTGTCTCACAATGAAGCTGCTAATTCTCTTAAGGGCACTTAAATCCTTACAGAGTATTTCATGTTAAAACTTAAAAATCTGAACTTACTGAGAGCAAATTTAGAATCACTTTGAGCAAGTACAGGGAAAGGGCAGAGCTGATGTGATGAGGGAAGATGACAGTTTTAAGCTATTGGTTTATGCCTTAACCTCCAGAAGCAGAAAGAGTAACTAAACAGCTGTGACTAGATGAATTGGAAGCTCCTCACTTTTAATGTTCCTTACACATAAGTTTTCCATTTAACTGGGAATTCACAGTAATCGATTTCATTTAAAAACACTAAGGTTAAGTCCCCCTCATTGCAGAGAGACAGTTGCTACTGGTAGGTGAGTATACATTAAGTGAATATATATGTGTGAAGTGACTTTCAGTCATCTAGCTTCAGGTTACCTCGTAATTACCTTCTGGCTTTAGATTTGGTCTTTGACCCCTTTTTGCCTCATACTGTTTGAATGGGTATCGGTTTAGGGGAAAAAAAAAAAAAAAAAAAAAGAGGCGAAACAAAACAAAGGCCCTGCCTTTGTTTCATTAGGGAAGAATGTATTTCTCAAGGATGTGGTATTCTTAGAGCGCTTTGGTTCAATGGGCTTTGATATTTAAACTATTGTTCTTATATTTAGGTCGCAGATATCAAGAGAGTTAACAATCTTATCAATGATCAAGACTTTTTTGCCCTGAGGTCTGTGAGAATTCCAGTGAAAAAGTTCAGCGTGTTGACTGAAACACATGTCTCTCCAAAAGGAAGACCAGTCCTTCGGCCTGCTCACTGCTCCTCAGAACCGCAGGAAACGCCGCCTTCTGACAAATTCTCCCCTAATGAGAGTGCTGGCAGCTTCTTAAAAGAAGTGGATCGAGATATAGAAGAAATAGTGAAGTGTAATGATACAAAGAGAGAGAATCTTAATGAAGTTGTTTCTGCCTTAGCAGCCCAACAGGTCTGCTTTGAAACTGATGGTAAAACTAAAAAATGCAAGGATCCCTACTACGGAGCAGATTGGGGCATAGGATGGTGGACAGCTGTAGTGATTATGCTGATTATTGGCATAGTAACTCCAGTTTTTTATCTCCTGTATTACGAAGTTCTAGTGAAAGCAGATGTCAGTCACCATTCCACAATGGAATCTTCCCATTTGTTTGTCACAGCAGCATCGCATCAGAAGCAAATAGAAAATGGAATAAATCCAGCAAATATTTTGAATGTCGATAATCAAGGAGACCTTCAGCCTTAACAACAGAAAACCCCAGGCAACTGTTACTCCTAGACACGTAACATAGCATTAGATAAGGGGAAACCACAGAACACATAATGCATCTGGAACGCAGAGAAAATGTGTCCTGATGTGTGACTTGCCTTTATGGGCAGCACTCAATACGAGGGTGTGTCTGTGGAGCATGTAATCTCTGAATATGCCTGAGACAGGTGATTTTAATACAAGGTTGGGATACAAATTTAGGTATAAAATTGCCTCTGAAGCTTTGCACTTTTTTCTATTTTGATAGGAATATGTTTTTTAATTAAAAATTAGATGAAAAATATGTAGTTTGAGCTAACACATGAGGAGTCTCACTGTATGTTTTACAGCCCTAAAATGGGCATTTGGGGATATCTAACTTCTAAACATCTTAAAGTATTTATAGAATGCATAAGACACTTGACATTTTAATATCAAGTTTACAGTTGTCAGTTAAAACTGTGTTCTCATAATTTTATCTTTCTTATAGAGTAAGGGTTTGGGTTTTTTTTAAGAAAACCCAATCATTCCATAATTAATTGCCACTATGAAGGTCTTTTTTTTTTTTTTTTAAAGGGAATCTTCAAATCTTGTGCTTGTGGTCAACTCTTTCTTTAGTATTTTCCAGTATAGGCAGTAGGATAATTTGTTTTCTGTGACACTGTGCCTCAACACAGTCCAGTTGAGTCTTGCTGAAACTTCACATCCTTCCGTGGTACCCTCCTGAAAACTGGCTGGACTGGACTGCACTTCTCAGCTGTGTATAGGATGAAAGAAGTGTAGATCTCCGGCACCTTGCCCTAACAGATTCAGTAGTCTTTATTTTATTCTAATGATTTTTTTTTTTCCCTCTCAGTGAGGACCAACCAATAGAGCAGTCATGCGGGTACTGACTACTCATGGTCACGTTGCCCATGAACTTCAAACACCAGCTTTTTCCTGAAATCTTCTAGAAAACTTCAAATGAGATTTAATGGCTGCTAGAAAGAAACTTAAATTGCAGCAGAATAGACCACTTGCAGCTTCAGATGTGTTCTTTATGTAGCAGCGTATCCATCAACCACTCTGTCGTTGAATGTTTCACTTGGGGTTTCACAAACCACCTTGTTTTTTCCCCTCTTTTCTTCCCTGCCTGAAAATGCTACAAGATAAACTAAAAAACCATGGACTCTTCCTACAGAAAGAAGGAGGTACTTGTGTACTTGGAATATTTTTAAATAAAAATTGAGATGCTGCCTATAGTTTTATTTGGTTATATTTGCTTTCTGGGGTGAGATTTCTGTTACCCTATTCAAAGTACCATTTGTTGCCAAAGGCCCAAATAACTGACTTGAATAGGATTTACAAAGAGAGAAATGGGAAAATAACCACTATCCTTTTAACTACTGTTATAAGCTTTCCTTTGAGTGTCTTGACTAAGTATATATGATACAAAAAACCTGATAAAGTGAATGTTTCCTGACTGTTGGAGTTATTCTGGAGTGCTCTATCACCTTAAGTTTTGCAAGTAAAGACTCCTGCCCCATCTATTCTTGGGGCAGTTGTTCACTGGCATGCCAAGTGTAGGAGGATGAATTGGATAACTTTTAATGCAGCAGGCCAAAGTTTGAAGGGAAATGTGGTACAGTTGGATCTGTGAACTGTGATCTGTGGCCCCTGAAACCTTTGATGAGAGCCATATCTGTGGAGATAGTGAGGCTACTCATAATTTCCACACTGGAAGAGGGATTGCAATCACACATGAACTTCATGCTTCACATAACGCTTGTTTTCAAAGATCTTTTCAATTAATAGTTCTTTGAATATGCCAATTAAGCCTGAATACTGAAGTACTGTTTCTGGGTACTGGTGTAGGAAAAATTGCGCTGAAAAATAATTTATGGTGGCTAAAGTGATAGAGTTTCTCTGGTTAAAACTTTAAAAGGTGACTTGCTCTAGTCCAGGCACCACAGCTTGGCACACGAAGACAAATATTTTTCTCTGTGGGACTGAAACTTGGCACATGAAATGTCTGTATTTTACTGCAAGCTTGTTTGCTGGTTTGCTTCTTTCCCCTTCAGCTTCCGAAACCTCAAAATTTTTATCCTTCTATTTCTTACAAAATTGTCAACATGAAGTTAGCTGTTGTGATGAGGCACCATAACCCTGATTTACTGCACGTGCCTAAACTGGCTGGCATTAAAGTGCCATCAGTATAGAAGTGAACTGACCTTCAGCTGTGGTTTGACTCTGTCAGGAAGGTCTGTTGATGTGGGCAGAGAGGTCAGTTGTTACCTGGTGGTTTTCACCCTGTGGTGGTTCGGCCTGATTGTTCTCTAGCGCATCCCAGGCTTTGGATTTCCCGGTGTTGGAAGGCCTGTGCCTTACTGTCACTGAGTTAAGGGCCTTTATTTACCTTAGGATAAGAAGTTGTTAGAAGAATACAGAGGGAGAGCTGTTTTATTAGTCCATATTATGCTTTTAACCAGGAGCCTAGCATATTTTTACTGTTTTATTACATAACATATTTTCAATTTAGAGAGTTAACTTTGTCAGAAGATACAGTATATCTCTTTCCAAGATTGTAGAATTCATGATACTGTCTGTCCACAACCATCAGCTGGCTTGCATTTCTGCAGGATGCAAGGATGTTTACTGTTTTTTTCCAAAGTACAACACAGCTGACAATACATCACTGCACGTCAGCCCTGAATAAACAGGATAACTGCTCTGTCTGGAACTTAAATCTGATTTAAGTTAAAATCTGTCAAGTGAGTCCTTTTAGAAACGGACTTGTTTGGAAAAATAACCCCAACAACAACAAAACAGAGTGGTAAATCATAGATTAATTACAACACATTGTTGATTGGGAAGTTGGTTCTCAATTTAAGTGCATATTGCACTGTTGGATCATGTAAAATGTAAATGCTTTAAATCTGATACATTTTGAAGTATGTTGTCACAAATAGTCTTTGTATAACTATTTTATAAAGGCTGAAAATATAACTTTGTAAAATAATCCTGAATGAGGACGTAAGCCTTCTTTTAAATACTCCTGCTCCTCTGCTTTGAGAAGAACCTAAGTAATAACATGTAAAATAAAGATTTCATTTTAGAGTGCACTGAAAGTAGTGCATATAATGTATTCTTAGCTCTGGATACTTTGCATGTTTTATTACAGGAGGCCACTGCTTTTATTTGTTTTGGCTCGTTTTTATGTATGATCTAAAATACAGATCCTTGGCCAGTAAGTACATGGCCTTGACATCTGCCGTACCATCACTGGAGCCTTCAGGTGTCATCCTGTGCATGCCTTGTGGAACTTAGCACTTTTCTGCATAAAGCTCTGAGAATTTGTTAATTTCTCCTGAAATGAGGATTAAGAAACAGGCATGAAAAATCAAGGTTTCGATCAGTGAAGTTCTTTGGTGGTGCTCTCCCTGCACACTGAAAGCAGTGCCTTGTACGAAGTAGGGTTTGAATATATGCCTGCCCAAACCCGAAGTCTGATGAGACCCAAAGAATAGTCTAGGTTTTATCAGCATTATGGTCTTGCAATAAATTCTAAGCAATCAGAAAATCAGTTTATAAAAACAGGTGTTACACCTCTAACAGCACCACCTCGTTTCAGTGCAGAAGTGCCTCAGCAGAGAGCTGTGTCACTGCAGAACTCTGCCTGTTCAGAAGGCTTGGCTTAGCTGCCATTGTTATACTTGTCCTAGAGGGTCCATCCGGAGGTCAGAGGTGACCATAGTTCACCTTTTAGAGGTCTCAGAAAGACCTGATTTCTGCCAGAGTGCTTTTTCTGAACAGTACAGCATGAGGCAGTTGTCTCTCCCGTTAGCAGTATGGCGAATGAAGACAGTCAGCGCTCCTCAAGATTTTGTGTCTGCTACAAAATGAGGTATCAAACCTGCTCAAGCAAGCCACAGCTTGTGACCAAACTAACTCGTGCAGTAACGCTTTTCCAGTGTTAACTCCCCAGCTCTGTCTCTGGCATAAGCCACCCGTCTGTGTTCCTTGTGTGAGAGGCGAGGAGCCTCGCTGTTCACCTTGTGTGGGGGGAACAGCCAGTGGAAGATAACACTTGTTATCCTTGAGGCAAGTGAATTTGATTTTCAAGATGCTTACCTTGTTCAGAATGTCTTCTGTCTCTCTGGTCTATCACCTGCAAGGAGGCACGCCTGTTCAGGAAACAACTGCTGGCCTGTGTGGTGTTAAAAGGAAATGGACAGACAGAATACACTTCATATGCAATGCAGAAGCATGTTTATTAAACATTATTTGTATAGCTATGAACAATACAAAATAAAATGGGTATACTCTGAAGTGTGACCTGCATAGCATTTTAGTTTCTTTTCTTTTACTACTGGTATGTATTTCATCAGAGCACATGAAAGCTACGCCTTAAGGAATTAATTTTTTCCACACAGAAGTTCATGGAATAATGCAGTCCTGTTTTCCAGTCACCGGTGAGGTAAAGTACTGCTTGACAGAAAATCAGACTTGAAGGAAAACATCTGTAGTTTCCTTTGCTGATAAAAGAATTGGTTTTGGTTTAAAACTGTTCTTTCATTAGACCCAGTAACAGCACTGGTTATAGGGAACAGAATGTTTTAAGTAAAAAACCCACAAAACAACAACCCTGATCAACAGTAATATATTAACACTGACCAATAATATTTTGACCATCAAAGGAGCACAGGACAGGGAATGCTCTGTCACTGTGTTCTTCAAGTATTTAATCTTGGGAATAAGCTTTCTATGCTTCAGCTGCTGGTTCTTAAAATTGATGCCAAACATTCTGATTTAGCTATTCTTTGCATTCTTGTCTTACTTCCCTAATTAAAACCTCATGCATCAAATTACTTCACAATCTTTACCTACATTTTGGTTTGGTGTTGTTTTTTTTTTTTTTTTGTATTGGTTTGCTATCTGTTAAGTTTCTGCCTTACTTGTTGTGTAGGAAAGTAAATAGATGCATTAACCATGACATACATAGCTGTCGTGCCATCTCAACAGCTCTGTGAGGTAAGAAAGTTAGTATCCCCTTAAGAGGCAGAGAAACTGAGGTGAAAGACTGACATTTTCATCTCTGATCTGTGTGCCACTGGTGAAACCCAGGATTCCATAATCTCTCAGTCTTAAATTCTACCATATATTCTTTTTAAGGGAAACTACCCTTAATTATTACTTCTGTTACTTCTGTACACTATACTGTTAGTATACAGTAGCTGTATAGGTAGCCCTAAGGCTATACTAAGGTATACTGTATACTAAGGCCATTTCAAGTCAGTTTATATTAAAGTGCTCTGTTGTCAATTATTTTCAGTCACCTGAATTTGGAAGTTACCTAAATTCAGAAGACAGCTGCCAAATATGAGCAGCTTATGTCTGTAAAGGCCATATATCTTTTTGCTGCAGTCATGAGGAACTCCACTATTATTTTCAAGATTTGACTGCTAAAGTGTAGAACTGTGTAGTGCAAATGCTTAGGCACAATTTTGATTAAAATGCATACATTCTTTCTCTGTGCAGAGGCAATACAATGGCATTCAGCTTACTCCATCGGTAGTAATTGCAGAGAACCTTAAAAAAGGTGTATGTCTGCAAAATATTTGGCAAAGGAACAAAACAAAAGATCCCCCATCCTGTTTTACAGCCTCATACAAATTAAAAATAATTGTTCAACGTGTTTCTGGAGAGTATACTTAAAATCCACAGAGCTAAAGAATTAGTTCTGTTGATAGTGTGCCTCCAGAAATCTACTTCAAGTAGTGTAAGGCTTGAGCAGTGTACCACCTAGAAACAATAGCTAATATGTCGCTTCATCCATATTGTCATCACTGGCAACATCAAAGTCATCTCCATCTTCAAAATATGAAGCAATGTAGTCATTTTCCTAAGGAAAAGGAAAAAAAAAATCACTTTTATCTGTGGAGGAGGCAATTTGTGAAAGAAACATGCTTTAAACTGCACTTGAGCACCCATGTTTTGAAACTAGTAGGAGATTTTTCTTATTTCTTGGGAAAGAAAAAGGAAAACACTGTAATGAAATTCTGATAGCTACAAAAGAGGAGTCGTCACAGTTTTAGTGATGAAAATGAGTAACTATGTATTGATTGTGGCAGGACACATTTCTGCTTGCAAGATCTTTTTTTCAGACCTCTTTGGGAGTAACAAGTCTAAATCACCCACTTAAGTGCAACACAACATAGTGCAACGAAGAAAATTAATGTAATAATGGCTCTCATAGAGCTCTCCCTCAGTGCTGGAGAAGCAAGGGACATTTCTCTGGCCGACAGCCAACACACTACTGAATGAGTGGGAGGTGACTTTGTGTAAATAAGAAAACAAACATACCTCTTCATGCTCCTCTTCATCAGGTTCCTCTGATTCTTCTCCTTCTTCATCTTCACCTTCTTTCTCTTTTGTTTTGTCTTTCTCGTCTTCAGAGTTTTCATCTTCAGATTTTTGGTCTTCATCATCCTTCCCTTCCAACTCCTGTCACAAGGCAATGTTTTACACAAGGTAATCTCGTGTTACAGCAACAGCATATCCTCCAGCTACCAAAACATTATGCTGCCTTTAATAGCAAGACAACAAACATAACAATGCTGCACAATGTTTTTTTCAGTATTTAAAATAACGATGTGAAGCACAAGAACTTCACAAGGACCTACTTGATCAAGCATTAGCCATCGGACTGGACTAAAAAAGTGTGTCTTCTGTAATAGATTATTTCCATTTACCATCCACTGTTAGAATAACTGACAGTAATGTCATACCTGATAAAGCAATACCTCATACTGCACACAATAATGTTCTGCACCAAACAACAGATGGATTACCAGGAGAAGAAATTACAAGGCTGTTTCACCTTTAAGCTTCCCATTCCCACATGGTGGGTAGCCGCCTCCAAAACAGAGGTCGCTTTCCTCCTAAGTTTCTCTTTCTGTATGTTTCTTCCCTCTCAACTTACTAAATTGTTTAATTCCCAACAGCAGTAGCTAGGTGAAGCAGCAATAGATTTAAAAGCTCTGGCACCAACTTCAAGAAGCTCTGCTAGTAGCTGTGCTGTTCACAGTTTGGCTGCGTCACTACCCAGGGAAGAACAACTGGTCGTTGTGTTCGAACAGGAGCAAAGAAAATTGTTTCTCCGCAGGCAGGCTCTATCCCTATCCCCTCCCTTGCGCTACCACACTGCAGAACAGTTGTCTGTCAGATTAACAAGACAAGGCTGGAAAATGGCTACACTTGGTTATTCCATTTGTAACCAAAAAACATACCAAAGGTTTAATTTTCCTTCAGCAATTTTTATTGTACAATTTAGGAATAGTACAAACATCTTACCTCAATTTTTTTCAGTACCTCCAGATTACTTTTAGGCTCAGATCTTTTTGCCTTTTTTGGTTTTGCACCTGCTGAAATAAAATACATCACCATTATTTTTTTAACATAGAAGAACACAAATTCTCTTATTTTACTTGCTCTTAAGAACTTACATCTTCAGTATGCCAAAGAAATCCCATACCATCTGTATTAAAATTACCTTAGACTTTGAGCTACATCATTCCTGGAGGTGTAAATGCCCAGTTTATGGAAGTGATGCCTATAGGGCCAGTCTGAATCTCACTTCGTTGGGCCAGAGTATGACGTTTAGCTTCACAAAATACTTTTCACCTAGATACTCACGGTATGTTAAAAAACTAGAACAAAATCTCAATTGTTATCTTTCCTCATCTTGAAAAGATAACAACTCATGAATGTTACTGATTTCTGCAACATGACAGCTGGGTGCTTTGGACAGGTCATAGATAAAAAAAGGCAGACAACAGTTTATTAGCTCAAATGCAGTAGGCATGGTTACTGCAGCTAGAAGGCTTCTGGATCACCGCTGGCTCTCATGAGCCCACAGTGAGTATTTGCACCTAGTCCCTGGATTCATGAACATTATCAAGTTACTCCCTACAATCCAACTATATAGTGGAGCAAAGGTCAAAAATAGCATTCCACAGAGCCAGCTAAGAGCTACCCGGATTTCAGCACCCTAAACTAAGGCTGCCCCAGTTCCATGAGCACAGTTGGACTGGTAGATGAGGAGAAACAAACCGCTCCAAAACCAGAGATGTTACAGCATTCAGAAAGCTCTGTGAGACATCCCATTCCCACAGTGCAGCTGTCCTTCAGCTCTCAAACTGAAAACACAGGGCTATTCCTGACACAGATTAGCTCTTCTCAGGAGGGTAAAACTGCCTGCGTGATGTGCCATATTGGTGTAGCTACAGCTGCTGAGGGGCAAGGCATCTTCAGGCAAGCTAATGTGAGTTGCCCCTTTTTTATGCTAGGCTGCACTAGGTGGTATCAGAAAAACAAACAGTGTGCATTGATGGAGGGGAGATCCTTTCTGGAGCAGATACTAACCTAGATGTGGTTATGTATTTTATCTGGCCTAATACTTAAGGAAGCAGGACACTAAGAGCTGCTAAGAAGACAACTGTATTTTGTCAAAAGCACTTGTCATAAATAGCATGTGTTTCATTTCAGTGTTTTGCCTAGGAAGGGATTACGTGACAAAAGCACTGCACAGAGCTGAGGGGAGTCAAGCTGCTCTGTAATAACATATGAACAGCATCAAAGCAAACACATCCAGAATGAAGTAGGCTTTTAGGGGAAATAAGTGAAAAGTGCGATTCAAAATCATCATTTCTGCACAAACCCCTGCGGGCTTTTAGAGGTAATGCCTATAGAACAAACAGCCTGGAAATGAAAACAGACATACAAGATCTTTCTTTAAATGCTGGATGTCCCTGGAACTTATCATAAAATTAGAGACACTGACCCACTGTTAGTAGAACTTCAAGCAAAATAGCTCCTTACATCCATGTATCTTAGAGGTGCAGTGGAGTGCATCTAATCTCTCCAAATACCTGTTCTCAAAGTACTTGGGTGTAAATGTATACATCTGATTGCTATATGCATAAAGCTGGCCTACAAGAGCTGAACCCAGTCAATGCTTTTCTTACCATTTTTGTTTGGTTGGTTGTTTTTGGCAGGCACCACCAAAGTGAGAGGTGTGTAAAAACGAAGCCATTCCTGTACACATTCCCAAGACCACTCCCGCAATCTACAAATCCACCCTAAGATGTCTGTCCTCAAAATACAACAGAGAGACCTACCAGAAGGGCTAATGTGTCACTGATCAGCTATTTACAAACCTCTTGAGTCATATGACTTTTGTATGGCCTCTGTATCATCAGGATTCCCAAAAAAAAGCTGAAAGCATGTGATTTTTGCTTTTAGAGGAACCTATTTTTTTTGATGCAATCAAATTGTGATGGTCAGCCGATATTTGCCATTACAGCTATGTAAGAAAATGTACTTTTAAGAGCAAATAGAGAAACTGGCACAAAAGAGGAAAAATCCCTCACAGTGAGCAGTGATTCCCTCTTTGTTTATGACAATCACAACATTATCGAAACAAGGAATAATAAATTGGGATTTATTATTCCATTGGATTCTGGGGAGCAAATTATTGCATATAGGCTTACAAAAGCCAATGGAGTTTCTTCTTTTTGGGGAAAAAAAAAAAAAAAGTAGGTATGTAGTGGTTTCATCTTTAGAGATTTTGCAAGTATGTAATTTTCAGCTGAATCTTGCAGTCCTTCAGTACCATGCTTCTCAATGACGCTCTTAAAAGGAACAAAGCTTCCAGCTGAGCTAGTCTCCAGGACTACTGCACATTCCCTTTTATTTTTCTATTTTATCCTTGAACTGAAAAATGACACATGAAAGTCTTGGACAAAGAGAACAAGAAAGTAAACAGCTACATATAACAAACAGCTAGATACAGGAGGCCAAGTGTTATTTCACAGACACAGAGCAACAGACTTCTACAGAGAACTTAAAATAACAGTCATGCATGCTAGAAAACACTTTGAAAAACAAATACACGTATGATGCTGTATAATAAGAAATTTTTTTTTCCTGTAAGAACCAATACCAGCTCCAACTGCTGTTGAAGGATCTGGTTCACAATCCTGCAGAAGAAAGCTGAAAATAAGCAAAGAAAGTAAAACTAAGGAAAGTAGAAAATAACCTACACTGAATCACATATAAAAGGCTTAAAAAAATGCAAAAGTCAAAAAATCATAAACAAGATAACTGAGAAACCCAAGATATAAAGAAAATCTGAACAGCCAGCTATTCATTAAATAGGATGAGTGTTGATTAAATATACAAACTTTAAAAACAAAAAGTTTTGTGGGTTTTTTTAACCTTTCACAGTTACATATTTCATATGTTAATACTGCACATCACTATGAGAGGCAGGAACAGAAGATAAATCTGATCCAGTAAGTTAAAATACCCTACAGAGCAAAGCAAAAATCACAGAAGATGGCAGACTGGTAAATTACTTAGAAAAAAAAATGTCAAAAGCCCTGATTATTCAGACTAGTTAACATTTCTACCTTTTTTTTTCCCTCACAGCCAGCTCCAGTATGTCTTCTATCAGTCAACTAGTGTGTACTAAAATGCTTTTAAACAAAAATATAATATACCTTTTTTGGTCTTTTCTTTTGGCTTAAGCTCTCTTGGGAGTATTTTCCAATCTGTTCAGAAAAGAGCTTTAATATACATGAATTATGATTTACAGCAGTTATCCTCCCCCTGCCACCCGCCAAGGAAAGGTAGGAGCCCCTGTTGTGTTTATAAAACCCAGATACCTGTGACTGAGACATCAGGTTGAGTTTAGCAACATCAGTGTTTGCTCCCAGTTTAAAACTGGTATCTGCACGGTGAATTAGGAAGAAGGAAAGCTAGAGTGAGAGCTAAAGCTTGCATCCTTGCTGCAAACCAGTTGTTTCAACTGAGTAAATAAATAAAATCAGATCCTATTCCTTTCTTTTTTTTTTTTTTTTTGACAAAACAATACTTTGCCTTGATTTGAAAACACGTGAAGGGCATAACAAGGAATACATGGCTTGGTAAGGATTTGCATACTTTCTTATTGCTTGAAAAATAATGAATCAAACATTTAAAAGTGCAGAACATTTCACAGGTTAACAAAGAATTAGCCTTTGAAAACCTCAGATATTACCTGGGGTCCATGTTGCGTGCTCCTTTCCAGTGTCCTGGTACCTTTTACTATACCTCTCAATGACTACAGAGAAGGATACAAAGAGTTATTGAATTCAGTTCATTAAAAAGGCAAATCCAGACACCATCTTTGATCTTTTCCCATAACTAAACATACAGTGTATTTTTTTAATCCCATATTGAACATTTTCTTGTGCTGTTGTCAAACACTTAAAAAACAGTTTCATGTCACTACTTTGAGCAGTTCTCATAATTCTGAGGACTAATCACTTCTAGGTACTAAGTACAAAAAAAAAGGCATTGCTTTGCATTTTTGGGTATCTCCTTTTGATCAAAACACTCCCTCCTCTCCCCAAAAAAGCCCCTGCAAAACCCCTCTAAAATTATTATCATTTATACTTCTATCGCTGGAAAGCATGAAAATATAAAATGCAGATACAGTAGGTAAGCTAGGTTGAAACATCAAATGAACACAAACTCTTCTACTATTCAAGTTTCACAATCAAAACTTTGCTACAAAACCAGTCAGTGAGATTTACCACCACTAATCCTAAAACTACCCAGAATTCCCAGGTCTCAGAAGGCTGCGTTTCAGACTGATCACAATTAGCTCCCCAGACCTTAAATACTTCTGCAATGGCAAAGCTTTACAGCATAACAGAGATGTGTCCTAAACAGCAGCAACACATTTTAGTCCATTTAACCTCATTCCAGGCTAACTAAACTGAGAAATGCACTGTAAATATTACAGTAGTTATGCAGCGTATTTGTACTGCAGAAAAATTTTCTTGTATAATCTCTAATGTCAAAAGCAATATCACAGCTTAAGTATTTTCAAATCAGTCCCATTTTTTCTTACCAAATTACCATGCCCAACTGCAAAATCCACTGAATGGAAAATTAGTGCTTCTGACTGCACTAATAACTCACTACCCAAACACGGGTAATTTTTGTGGATAGTGTACAAAAAATGGTAACAAAGACAGACTGTGACTTTTACAGTCAAAGACTTCTAAGACACTCACCAGAAAAAAAGAAGGGAGAAGGAAGACATCAGAAATGAAGCTCCATTTTAAACTTAGTTATGAGGAGGGTAAGCAGAAGACCTTCTTGAAACAGTGCAACAAAGAACTTGCATTTAAATTGACAGTGTCTCAGGGGACATTTAATGTAGGTGGCCTTCACAGATGCTGTTGGGAAACTGTCAGCACACAGAGGGAAAGAACCTAGTAATTCTGATTTCAGCTCGAGGCTCTTCAGTGAAGAACTAATTGCTGATGCCATCAGCAAAAAATACGTCTGACTGATTCTCGACACTCACAGCTAATGAATTCATTCCAAACCACTGCCACAGTGACAGTAACCCAGTCACAGCAGATATACCTACAGGAAAAATATGAATGATTCATAGCTTATAAAGTGAGGAAAATAGAGAACTTAGTGTAGAACATGACTGCCACTCACCCAAATGAGTGTTGAAATGAATGATGAAAATCTATTATCCATGGCACACTGATGCATCAAAAATGCCAGACAGTATTAGACATGGCTTTCATTTCCTACCTGAATAATGAAAGAAAGATAGATAGCTATGTCCTAACTAATTAAAATGTTTCCCTTTTCACACTTCAAAGGACCATTTGGCTCACAGATGTTGTGTTGAGGGTCTAAACCAATACATTTGCTCTTGCAGCAAAGCCAATTCAAGATGTTCCTGCCCACAGTCCCCCTCCTGCCTCCCTCTTAGTCCTACCAGACGATTTGATGAAATAAAGGGGAGGAAAGGACTCTAAACCAGGTAACAGAAAAGATGAGTTAAAAACCATCTACCCTGGGGGAAATTATTTTCTTAGAGCTAGGCAACTTCTGCCACATACTGCAGTGCCAGAGACAACTGCATACTGTGTCTGAGGTGAAAGCAAGCTTTTTTTAAGCTGCAGACCACCACTGATTTAATTATACCCCACCCCTCCGATGGGGCATTTTTGTACAGCTAAAGGTTCAGTGACAAGTTACCTCAACTTACCCTAGGGGGGATGATGAGAACATCTGAAGCATTATTTGAGTCTATCAAGCAGCTGTCTACCTGCTTCCCCTGCAACTGCCAGTTTTTGTAGGAAAAGAGCCTTCAAAGCTGGCAGTTCTAAGAGGCACACTCAGCAACAGAGAGAGACCACTTCATCTCAGAAAGAAGGCTGCAGAAACAAAGATGATTTTGAGGCGAACAGTAAGAACGATCACATGAGGCAAAGTTGGAAAAGAGAGGTATGGTTTCTTGGAAGCAACCCTGGCCGGCTTTCAGGCATACCAGTTTCTTTCTTTGTGCCTCAAAGGGAAATAACAAACTTCAAGCCTGACACTGATCAAGAGCACAGCAAGCCTCGAGTGCAATGAGAATCCAAAAAGACTGGAATTTGTTTACTCAAATGAAAGAGGAGATGTGATAAAAGACTAATTTGGAATTCTACCACCATAAAGGGATCTCTGGAAATGAAGATCGGACCTGTTCTTGCCTCATAACCAAGGTTCTACCTGGCTGCACTGTCAGGGTCCACCCTGGGCCGTGCTTGTGCTGCACTACAAATGCCTGATGTATCGCAGTGGCTGCAGGGCTCCAACTGCAGGTCAGAGGGAATACTCTGCCTTTGGGGGTCAGCACCATGTTCACTGCTCACACTGCGGTGTTTCAAACAGTGCTTTTGTACAAGAATGAGCAGACAATCAATAAGGTGTGTTAATCGGTGTTACATTAAAAAAAGAATGGTGCCAAGTCTCAAAACCCTCTAGAATTCACTGCTGCACCACGAACAAAAATTACCAAACTTCAGAGGGGGTTGAACTATAGCACCTGTATCGTATCAACATCATGAATATTCAGTCAGAAAATACTCTGATGGCTTTGGTGTGGAAATAAACTTCATGTTTTAGAGTTCAAGTCGGCTCTTACTACTCAAAATCATGACAAGACAGCAGATTTTTTGAACATTTTTATAAAGCTTTTCAGCGACTGCCTACTGCACCGACTGGGCCTAGGGTCTGACACATGCAGCGTTTCCTAATTGTGATATTTCCTATTTTCCTGTAACAGCACTTGTCATTTACACCGTTCAGAACAAGCACTCCAGAGGATGACAGAACTAGGCAAAAATTACAAACAAAAATAAGCACTCCTCACAGTAATAACCTCCCGTGAGAGCTAGATTTATAATACATCCACAGCAAGGTAAACAGACATTTAAAGTTTTCCTACCCTGCTCCTCTTGCCTTCTTTCTCACTAGCTCAGTTTTCTGACCTAGAAGCTTGGATTTTAACAGTGTAATGATGTATGACTGGACGTCAAGTACAGCAGAGCAGTTATTGTTGTCAAACAACAACAAAGAGGTTAATTTTTAATTACATATAAGCAAAAGACATTTTTAGCTCAAGAGAGTAAGATCAATCTTTCACTTCTCATCCAGCTCTGCTTCTGATGCAAACCTCAGTAAATCACTTACCCTCATCTCAGTCTTCATATTTCAGGGGACTTGTCAGTAACACTTACCCATCCTTCCTGAATAGACTTAGGGGAAAAAAAGTTAGTACCATTCAGAATGTCCAGCTATTGAACAGAACATTATTTTAAGTATCTCTTTACACAATTAAAATGGAAGCTGAATCTCAACACTACTATTTACTATGGATTTCTTCGCTCTAAGGCAATTATTTTAGAATATTTTAACATGTAGAAATGTCTGTTTCACTGGTATTGGTTAGCATACAATTGAAAAGACTGAATACAGTTGGTCTCAATGTTTCTTACGGTGCATCAAATGGAACAGATGTTTGATATCTCTTTTATTCATACAGTAGTTGTTTTCTAGTTGCAGCACTTGTAGGTGTGACCTACAACTTCAGTAAGCATAAAGGCAGAAAAATTTCCTACCACTTTAAGCTGCCAATTTTTATTCTTATTATCATGAGAATAAATACACTTTCCACACAAAAATTCAAAAACAAATACATTTTCAACGCATGCATTTCACTACATTATCCTTCACAAAACAGTAACTACCAAAGATATAAATAAAAAGCACACAAACAAACCTTCATGATGTTCTACCGTCAAAAAATATGGCAATGTTGTCATAGTTCCTCTAAGTTCTTGTTTTAAGGCCAACATGTAATCTTCATCTTCTCCTGTTTTCAGAGGCACTGGCTTATTGTCTGTATGCTGAGCAAATTATGTGTATTATTTATAAGGTCTTAATATCCATCAAATATACAGGAACACTAACAAAAGCTATAATAAACACAGCTAATCACAGAAGAGTGCAACTATGCATTATGCTACTTCACAAGTATACTATATAACATTCTGACATAAGTAACTATGTTTACAACTAGGTGGATGCCTAATACGGCTTCACTATATCTTTGTGCAAAAATGTATCAAGAAAACAAGAAAAAAAAAAGTATTAAAACTGCAAAATAGTCATTCATAGTCAGGCTAAACTCTTAATTGCCAAAAGCAGTTTTTCAGATCACCTTAACGTACACAGAAACCATTGTTTCTCTCTTCAGAGTAGTGCTGGCCTTAACCTCTTTTGTAACAGTGTGTTAATGACATTAGGTGTGATTACTCTGAATAACATAGACACCCATTCCATCACCATTGTCAGGTTGCATCATCATACAACCAGATAGCACGCAGGTCCTCACACAACTCAGTTTCTATCAGCTGAATTTGAATGAATTTTTAAGGTTTGGATTTTTTGGGTTGGGTGGGGTTTTTTTTGGGGTTTTTTTGTTGTTTTTTTTTTTAAAGTATGAATCTTGAAAATGAGAAATACAAATAAGCAAAAACCATTTGTAGAATGTACAGAACACTATAGAGCCCAAGACCGAAGCAAAGAATGGATGTTGTTTCTCTGGCACAACAGCTGGTGCACAATGAATACCTGAGTGGCAGGTTGCAAAGCACAGTGTGGTACCTCAAGTCCCGGAGCTGGATCATGGACGGAGTTTACTGCTTCCACCTGTATTATCTAGCTTGCCAACATTTTAAATCACTAATGTTGCTGAGGGTAAGCTGATGGTCCTTAACTGGGTTTCTAATTGCATTTACAGGAAATTCCTAAGAAGTCAAAACATGTCTATTAGAAATACACAACAGCAACAATTCACTGCTTGAAATAATTTCACTGTGAGTCAGTCACCATCTGTAATATAATTCTGGTGACTGACCAAACGCTAAATTTAACTCTTGATATTTTTATCGACCTTAGTTATGCCACTGGGTTAACATTTTATTTTTTTTTGAGTGGCACTAGATTTCCCTGGCAATTTTAACTTAGTTCTGAAACTCTGTTGACAGAAGGAAGAAAGCATCTTACCTTCTCCATGGTATACTTTAGATACGCTGCGGCTAGTAATTCCTCTACAAGGCTGAACCACCACTGAAAAGTATCTGAAGAAGCTATAGTTCACCCAAAATTCAGTTTTGCCATGCTATCAAGCAGACTGCAATACCCACATTAGGAACAGTTACAGATGGCTTAGTATCAATGAAATCACACAACTTAATCGTGAAGGTGGACTAAGAGGATATATGACATCAGGTTCAGTAAGTGAAGTAACTATTTGGAGAAATCTCACCATAGCACCAATTATAGATGAAACCTGCGAGTACTGTATCAGAATACAGAACCAGGGAGGTGGTGGAGTCCCCATCCCTGGAGGTGTTTAAGAGTGAGGTTGACTTAGTGCTTAGAGATATGGTGTAGTTGAGAACTGTCAGTGTTAGGTCAATGGTTGGACTGGATGATCTTCCAGGTCTTTTCCAACCTAGACAATTCTGTGACAATGTGAGATTGAGAAAGATTTTGTGCACCTTGATGAAATCCTGACATAATTGGGAAGCTCTTTTACATAAAACTGCCACATGGTAAGACTACTTTTCTGCCTCAAAATTGCCCAAGCTTCCCTGCACAGCAAAACATAGTCAGAAAACGCTCTTTAATTTTCAAATACATCCCAAATGCCAAATGTCAATTATGTTTCCTTGATTACATAAAATATTTTTTAGTTTTTTTCAAACTATTTTCAAATGCTGGCTGCTGAGGTACAAGACAATCATCCAAATCTTTTATGTTTGCATCAATAGTAAATTTCAACAATAAGCAAATCCATTCACAGCTTCAAAGACTAGTCTAACTTAATTGCAAACAAGTTCAGATAGCCATTGTTTCTGTTACTGCAATGCCCAGAAAACTAAACCACAAGGAGGCCTTTAATGACAAACATCCTGCAAGCAACCTAGTTAAACACAGGATACAATAATTAGCAAAGGGACAGAATGTAATAACAAGAAAAAGAGCGATTTACATTAAATACTTTAAAACTGACCTAAAATGCTTAGTGTTTTTCAGGTAACTCACTACTTTACCTAAACAGGAGAGTGCATACACTTGCCCTGAACACAGAGAGCGTGCTCCCAGGTACCTGTGGTACTTACAGGGTACGGTGCTGGAGGCTGTGACACGTCCTCAGGCAGAGCTGCACCTTTAGCAAAGCCAACAGCCTCGATGTTGAAGGTAAGCGCAGCACGTCCTCTTCCTCTACCAGCCATTTGGAGTTACTGAAAATACTACAGACTTTTTAGAGTTATTTTCGTTACACGTATCTAACGCATGTATACATTACCTATAAAATTAATGTTTAACAAAGATTACAGTCATTTTAAAGCCACTCTCAAAGGCTGTTTCAAACAGCAAACCATTTTCAATGCCCATCTTAGGTTCTTAAACAAACTATAAATTTGGTACATTCCCTCATTTCTGCCAGACACCCCTGCACACCCAAAATTACCTCCTAACTTAGGAATTTTAAACTTTTTTCTTCTAAACCCTAGATGTGCTGACTTAAGTTTAATCAGGGTAGAAGAACCAGAAACAACAACAACAAAAATGTTCAAGCACCCTGAACTTTCTGGGAATACATTCTGCAGTTTCTGAACTCTTCTCCAAAGAACAGTTTGTCACTAATGGCTTCTTCACCCTTCAGATTAATTTTTTTTTTTCCTTTATAACTTTGCAGCTAGCTTTGGGTACTGATAAAGAGCCAAAAGCAAAGAATTTCAATGCAAAAGCATCAAAGGACTCCAGCATGTCCGCAAGCTAAAAGGAGGTTGTTTCTAACTAAAATATTTCACCAAGGATAGAAAAAACAGCCTGCAAAACTACATTTACAGTCACATCTCACCACCTTCACTGTTAGGCCAGTCTTCATCTCAGGACTGCATGACTCATGGGGTTGGCAAGTAAAGCAAGATATGAGAAATAATTTTTGCAGGGAAGATATCAAGAAATGGGACCCAAGAGAAGCCTGGCTGAAGCACCGTGCTACCGCTCACTCCCCAAGACCACGCAAAGATCAGTTCAAGGCACCAGCCCAGAAATCCCACGTGCTGTTTGCCATTCACTGCAAGGTTGCACCCTGCTTGGTAAGATTGTGTCTGGTCTGGACTTGCAGCTGTACCAGCATCACCCCATCTATGGTGATGTAACAAGTTCAAACAGCAAAAAACTAAAAACACAATACCTACAGCTTCTCATACACTTGTCTACAAGGAATCCAGGACAGAATTACAGTTAGGAGTAAAGAAATGAATACTTCAGATCTTTTACAATTCCTCCAAATGGAAGCAATGGCCTTTTTATTAAATACCAGTGAGAAACATGTTGATGCAAGCATTTTCCTACTTAATACTTTCAACAGCAATAAGGTCTGCTTGGATAAACCAAAATGACATTATGTATGCTCACATCACTCAGCAGCATAGAATACTGTCTAAAAATAAGCAGAAAGGCCTAAATAAATCATTTTAAGAGAGATAACAAAGCCAAACCTAAACCTGAGCACTTAATTAACTGGAATTTTTTTTTTTAATAAAAAAATAAAAAAGAAATAGCAAACTCATTTCACAACAAGATGAAAAGATGTGAGCATGGATGGAGAAAGATAAAAGACACAGTAAAGCCCCAAACATGAGCAATTACATCATGTAGGTAAAACAACAACAGAAGAAAACCAAAACAAAAAGGGAGATGTCCATCTAGCAAGAAGAGGCACACTGTTTGCATTAGGTGGTGAATATAAAGGTGCATTTTTAAAATGCTGCTTTAATATTAATTCTCAGCAAGATTCTCTGAAATTAGAGCATTAGTCTGATGAGAAGGAACAAGCTTTAAAACTAGGAGTATTTCAACTCTGCATCTTTGCTGGTACTTGTGACTTTTTTCAAGCATCCTGGCTTAGAAGGTTTATGTCTACTGACACACCATGAAGTGACAGATGATCAGAGAAATAGTGAAGCAAATGAGTTGTACAACTATGTCACCAAGCATGACAAAATTACCACAACACCCAGTGTTTCAGCTGCCCATGAGGGATGCTGAATGATGCAGCACCTGGGTGCATTTTCCCTTTTATGGGCAGTTTGTGTGTCATTTACTCTACAACCAGCAGGTGAATTTCAGATTTAAGCTTTTAAAATTCCTTCAAACCTGTGGATGCTGTGTCCAGTCAGTCAGGGGAAGGCTGCAGAGGCCTTTGTGAGGGAAAGGCCTGCCAAGACTGAGTCCCCACAGCGGTGACAGGCGTGAAGAGACTCGGCACTCAGACGAGCTCTCCTTATCATATGTTTTCCTCAGAACAAAACTCTCGACTCTCGATCGTGTTCGGATCCTTGACTTTCAGAGACAGGTGCAATCAGTGGAAGGGAAGAGCAAAGGAGAAAGGATTGAAATTCAAATACTGAGGTTTTGTATGGTTTGGTTTTGGGGTTTTTTGGGTTTTTTTGTTTTTTTTTTTTTACCTGGCACCCCTGAAGGTAAAAGGGTGAAAATATTTATGACGATGGCCACAAGTCACTACCATGTGAGAATACACACCCCAGCTGCCCCCTTTCCTGCCTCCTCTCCCCGCTGCACCACCGTCCCCTCCCCAACACACCGGTCACTCCCAGAGGGTCCGTACCCGTTCCCCCCTGCACTAAACTCACCTTACAGTTTTCCTTCCCCCTCTGCAGATGGTCAATCCCCTCACGCAAGGGCTGAGCACCCCCAGCCCCCTCACGGCCCCCTCCGGGGTCCCTCACAGCCCGCTCAGGGGTCCCTTGGGACTCCCTCGGCGCCCGCTCAGGGTTCCCTCAGAGCCCCCTCAGGACCCCCCTAGAGCTCCCTGGGGTCCCCTCGGGTCTCTCTCAGAGTTCCCACGGGGCTCCCTCAGAGACTCCTTCAGGGGTCCCTCGGGGCTCCCTCAGACCCCTCTCAGAGCCCCCTCAGGGCTCTCTCGGGGCTCCCTCAGAGACCCCTCTGGGCATCCCCAAGACCCCCTCGGAGCCTCCTCCGAGGTCCCTCGGGGTTCCCTCAGAGCCCCCTCGGAGCTCTCTCAGGGCCCTCTCTGAGCCCGCTCAGAGCCCCCCTCAGGGGTCCCCCGGGGCTCCCGCACCGTCCCTCCCCGCTCGCTCACCCGCCTGCCGCCGCGCTCCGCCCGCGGTTGCCGCAGTGGGCCGGGCCCGGGGCCGCCCCG